ACACTTCTTAAACCTAAATAATTATTACAAGAAGTGGTAACACTCGTTTAACATTTAAGACTGTTTAAAAAAGAAAAAAAAACAGCCATTTCGAATGTTCTATATTCGGTTGACAAAAGAATAACTTTTTAGCAATTTTTTGATATTATCATAATTAGTTGTATAAAAATATTTACTTAATAGGTAAAATAATTTAGCTTATCATAATTTAGTTCTAAATCAAATAGAATTTCAATATTTTTTTGTAGACTTTCCTTGCTTCCTGAATTAGTGTTCCTAAAATTTATATGTCTGCTTACCTTTATGAAATCTTTATTTACAAGATTTTGTTTTAAAATTATATAATAATAATTTTAAAGTTAGATAGTAATTTGTTTTGATTCTATAAAAATAATTAGGATTTTGGTAAAAAAAATGGAGATTTCTGGACATGGCAATCTGATCAAAAAATTTAAACTAAAATAATTAATAAACATCAGAATAACTGTATGAAAAACATTCATTAAGTTTAGATAAGATTTCATCGAACTTTAGTATCCTTACGGACCACCAAGCAGACATTTTTTAATATCGCGGTACACAATGTCATTCTTTTGGAAAAAAAGGTAGTTCCTGAACTGATTAGAGTGGATTTTTAAACGTTTAAATACAACATAAAATTTACGTGGTGAAGTGATTTTGTAAAAAAAAATATACTTATTAAAAAGTTATTCAAGGTGGCAGATTTGAAATGAACGCACTGCACATTTGCAATTAAATTATTATTTAACAAAACGAACAAGAAAAGTCAGATGATGATGATCAATTATAGTTTACCTGCTAATTTCAATAAAATTAATAATATTCAATTAGTGTGTAGGATACCAAATCAAAAATCTTCGTTCGTTAACCATCTATGGACATTGGATCACCGCTTGGCTGGTTCACAGTTTAATGTGTAATTATTCTTAAAAGCTATATATCCTCAAATAAGAATTGTTTTCTTTTTTTTAATTTTCAAGTGGCACCAAATTATGAAAATGACCTTTTTTCAAAATTAATAATATATATATATATATATATATATTGGAG